GAACCCGTGGCCTTGGTGTTATCAACACCACACTCTCCCGAGTGAGCCACGGGCCGGCCCGTGATGGATTTACATAAAGGAATATCAGTTAAGTCCTAAACAGTTATTTTAGATTCCCTCTGGAAGTTTGCAGTACCTGNGGAATATCAGTTAAGTCCTAAACAGTTATTTTAGATTCCCTCTGGAAGTTTGCAGTACCTGGTCTGGCAAACATAATGAAGACCAACTCACATTTTTGCTTATTGAGCTCCTGTTTTTAATTCCTAACAGGCAATAACTAGAATTAAAGAAGGTGAATAATGCTTGAGAAGAAATGGGACTTTCTGGCAAACATAATGAAGACCAACTCACATTTTTGCTTATTGAGCTCCTGTTTTTGATTCCTAACAGGCAATAACTAGAATTAAAGAAGGTGAATAATGCTTGAGAAGAAATGGGACTATGTTATTTTCAGATAAGTGGGTCTGTCTGAAGCTGGAAAAATACTAATAAATAGTTTTTATGTTATTTTCAGATAAGTGGGTCTGTCTGAAGCTGGAAAAATACTAATAAATAGTTTTGCTCTCTGGACAGACTTGAGAAGGAGAAAGCAGAAATTGAACGCATGCGAAACCTGACTGAGGAAGAGAGGAGAGCTGAGCTTCGAGCAAATGGCAAAGTCATTACCAACAAAGCTGTTAAGGGCAAATATAAGTTCTTACAGAAGTATTATCACCGGGGTGCCTTCTTCATGGTAAGAGAAAAGGGAGTCATAAAATTGGGCAGTAGGAATAACTCAAAAGTTTTGAATTCGTTTTTCCCCCCAAGAATAAACTGTCCTGGAATGTTATTTCCACTTGCCATTGGTCAACTTTCTCATTTGCTTAGCCTCAGAAGAATATAAACCCAGAGAAAAGTATTAGCAACTGGATTGTAGAAGTAGCAGCTACTGTTCTCTATTTTGACCTCAGCTCTCAGAAAGAGGAAATAGTGTAATGAAAAAATTGAGGAAATGAAATAGTGATGTATGCAGATACTAGGCTAATGATGTCCCCCAAATCACTTAGATATTATTTCATAGCCAAATGAGACATGTTGTTTATTTGAAAACCAAGCTCTGCAAATAGCTTTACATTAACTTACATTTGCATGGCAGTTTAGTTCACTTCATTCTGAGCTGACAGAAAGTGACTAAGCCTAACTAACCAAAAGAGTGGTTAATTATCTAACCATTATGTGAAATGCCATTGTCTTTGTTCTTCATATAAAGACCATGGTCAAAATAGTAGTCTGTTAACCCTGTATAAAGTGATGTGGATTCTTCCAAGTTATTGGGATTAACCCCAGTGATAATTCCTTAAAAAGGGAATAGCAGGAAAGGTAATGGGAGAGTTGATTGCATTTATTACTCTGATAGCATATAGTTTGTTAAATTATTTCCTACTGTTAAAAAGGAGTTTGTATCAAAACTCTTTCAAGTGAAAAGGAGCTTTTTCAAATGCTATACATCAAACCCTAAATATCCTCACCATGGCTAAATTTCTGCCCTTTGCTGCAGGTACTGATAAAATTTCAAAGCTTCAGTGGAGGTTTTCTTACTACCTTCCAAAATCAGTTGCAGTCCGCCTAATCATCAGGAAATGTTTGCTTATTATGTAGTTTTCCAGCATATGTGATTTTCTGTAGTCAGTGGAGATTATGAATTACTTTTTGTACTGCTTCAAAGTCATGAAGTATCTTTTCTTAAACATTTCAGCAGCTTTAATAATTAAGCTTCTTAAAGAAGTAGTGCATTGCTGGCTAAGATAAATAAGGAAAGTTTATATGAAAGTTAGTCTTTTGGTGCACATACTCAAATATTGACTCTTCCCATCTGAACAAGGAGAATGAAATTGAAATGCTTCTGGGATTAAACGAGGGACTTTCAGGTCCTAACAGAAAAGTAGGTCTTACAAAAACTTTTAATTGTCCTACTTTTAAACTGGGCCTTTCTATATTGGAAGGGAAAAGGATACACGAAAAGTGTATTTGTTTAAGGAACTCAGCTCTTCTGTGAAGCCTTTCTTAACCAAGATAGTACTGTTTTTAATTCTTTCAGCATGTATGTTTATAATCTGTATTGCAGCATTGTAGTCTAACATGTTGATTTAAAATTGTTCTGTATTTTTCTATGTTGCCTGTTCACCTTGGGTCTATATTTACTTCGTATTTCTTTGTGCATTTACTGTGTAAAGGTTACTGTTTAGCATTGCTAGAGGATACATAATCCTTGCCCCAAAAGGCTTACAATCTAAAAGTGGGTCTGAGGCGATTTATACACTATAACATAAGGAAAAGTGAAAGTACTTTGGGGGCTCTGAAGAGGGCGCTGTTTTTTGGTAGAAGATTGAAAAGGATGACATAAAGGAGGTAACATTTAAGATGTATAGACATTTTTGACATAAGACATTCCAGGTGAAGAGACGTGCAGGAGTGGAGGCAGAAATTATCAGCTATAAAGGGAAGTGGCAAGAAGAGCTTAAAAGGTAGATTAAGGGGCCGGCCCGGTGGCGCACTGGATAAGTGCGCCGCTTGGGAAG